CCCGACCCTGTTCACCCTACTCCGGCCCTAGACATTGTTTTTGTAAAAGCTCCCCTGGAGATTCTAATGTACAGCCAGAGTTGAGAAGTGTTTCCCCTAGAACAGAGGTCTCAACTTTGGCACATATTATAACCATTTGAGGAACTTTGAAAAATACTGTTAACTAGGCCTGACCCTAGAATTCTGCTTTAATTGGTCTGGGATGAGGCTGGACATCAGAATTTCTAAAAGCTCCCAAGGGTAACTAATGTGCAACCTGGTGTGAGAACCAGTGCCCTAGACCAACTATTTCATTTTGTAGATGGGAAACTGAAGTACAGAGGTCACATAGCAAATGAATGGATGCAGAATATTCCTTCTCTCACACTACAGGCACAAAGCACTAGGTTCCATTATTTGTATCCCTGGTTGTTGCTTCCATACAAATGGTCTCATTTAATTTCTCACTTCTGGTGAGGTAGTGGGCAGTCATTACCCCCACTTTACAGGTGATGATATCAAGGAACAAAATGTCCAGGTGACTCACCCAAGGTAAAGGCAAGAACCTAGAATGCCCAGATCCTGGTCCAGTGCTCTTTTAACCACATCCCATTGTCTTGCAGAGGTTCTAGAATGAACAGATCAATGCTGTGAGGTGGATTCCAGGTACAGAGGGGAGGGACTATGAAGTGACATTCTAGAAGGGTGGAGAGGGTAGGAGAGGAGGCAGATGACTATTCCTTCACAAACAGCGGCTTTGGGGTAGCCATGTCCTATTTCATGTCTCCACAAACTCATCTAGGTCTTCTGCCTTCTGGCCAAGGTGAGAGAGGGGCTCTTGGAACTGGAGTGGGTACAGCTTTCCCTGAGAACTTGCTTCCTGGCTCTGGGGAGGTGGAGGTTCTGCTGAGCATTTTGGGGCTGGCCCTCGAGTCAATTCTTTTCACAGAAAAGCCATTACCAAAATGCTTGCCAATAGCTACCCACTTGCTCACTCATTCATTCAACACACACTTCTCCATCACTTAGTGTAGAGGACCGGGGGTGTGGATATGAGTAAAACCTAGTTTTCAACCACTAGACAACCCTCTTAGGCTGGTCTTAATTCCTCCTTTTCCCAGTGCTCTGCTCCTCTGCCCTGCCCCTCAGGGCCTCCTCCCCAAAGAGACCAAGAATAATAGTCCATCTCATTCCTGTCTCTGCAGGTGAGACTGCTTCTAGAGGCTCATCTCTTGGCCCCTATAGTCCTATAGAGCCAGTGGTGGTGGCCTCTGGTGGACAAGGCCAACTGAACCAGAAAGCCGAGCAGGTGGTACCTGCTGTCCAGGCCTGGGGCCCAACCCTGGCAATGCCGGAAGCCAGGGGCTGCCCTGGGGGGCCTAGATGGGAGACACTGCGGCAAAAGGAATACGGCCGATACTGCCACAAGTTCCCCCATGTGAAGCAGCCGGAGAGCTTGGGCTGGGAGGATGGCTGCTCCAGAAGCAGAGCTCCCTACCTGGGTGGCTCCAGCAGGCCTGGGCCCCTACTACTATGTGGGCTGTCACCAGGGGTTGTGCCGAAGCCTTCTGAGGCAGGGGGTAAGGAGGCCGGCTCCCAGCCTGACATCTGCATTCTTACCCTGGCCATGATGATTGCTGGCATCCCCACCGTGCCGGTCCCAGGCCTGCGGGAAGAGGACCTGATCCGGGCGGCTCAAGCTTTCATGATGGCCCATCCGGAGCCAGAGGGGGCTGTGGAGGGGGTGCAGTGGGGGCAGGCACATGCCCACACAGCCTCTGGGCAGATGCCCCTAGTGAGATCCAGGAGGGGCCAGCCTCCTGGCTCCTGCTTGTAGCTGATGAAATAGCATTAGACACATAGGGTGGCTTCTCCGTATGGTTTTTGGGCAGACAGGGTTGGGGGTGCCTATGGCAGGGATGGGGATAGGGTGATTGTTTGAGCCACTGTAATGAATAGCAGTCCTTCATCAGGGCCCAGACCTCAGGAAGTTTTGTCAGATACCACTAAGCCAGGAGACGAGTCTTGTCACAGTAATTACAATGAAAATTATCTGAGGCAGGGAACCCTGCTTGGAAAGTGGAGGCCTCTTTTGTATTGTTTTAGGACTTGATCAAAATTTCTTGTACAAAGTCCTAGGCAATGTGAATTTCCTCTTGCCTTACATTTCCTAGCCTGCTGAGGGCAGGTGATGAAACCACAGGCAAGGAAGGAAAATGAACACTTATCTGAGCACCCACTGGCCATCAGGCCCGGTATATGCCCACTCCTTTAATGTTTTTGTAAATATATTTTTACTGATTTCAGAGAGAGAGGAAGGAAGAGGGAGAGGGAGAGAAACATCAATGATGAAAGAGTCATTGACCAGCTGCCTCCTCCTGCACACCCCCTAATTGGGATCCAGCCTGCAACCTGGAATCGAACCGCGATCTGGATCATAGGTAGATGCTCAACTGCTGAGCCACGCCAGTCGGGCCACTCTTTTAATCTTACCAGTGCTGTGAGGATCTCCATTTTTACAGATGAAAAATTGGGGCTTAGAGGTGTCACTTGCCTGAAGTCCCATAGCTAGTAAAAGGCAGACCAGGCCTCAAAAATCATGCAGGTAAGGAACCAGGATTTGCATGTAGTGTCAGACTCCAAAGTCTCTATTCTTTCCATGACATTTCCTAAAGTGCCTTCCACAAGATAAAAAACTAGACAAGTGCTAGAGTAGGCAACATTCAACTTTAATGACCTCAGAATGGGGCAGGAGGTGGGGATGGTAAAAAGCCTGGGAACCTGGCTGAACCAGCTCCTCTAAGGGGCCTCTTCCTCTGTAAGTTATCTCATGACTGGGGAAACTGTTATCTCAGACCTTGATCTCCACCCACTATCTATATCTCTTATCTTAGAGCAGGGTCACCTGTTTTTATAAGGTCCCTGAGCTAAGAATCGTTTTTACCTTTTGAAAAGGTTTGAAAAAAAAACACAAAAAAACAAACCAAGAACATACAACAGACTGTATATGGCCAGCAAAACCGAAAATATTTAACTTTGGGCTCTTTACAGAAAAGGTCTGATGACTCCTGTCAGGAAACTAGACATATTGTAGGTAGCAGTCTAGAGTAGAATAGAAAACCCCTGTTTTGTCCTGGAGGGAGGGTCCATGGAAGTACAACGGTGTGAATAGGGGAGGACGTGAGAGTGTACCTGTGTATGAGCATCTCTTGGCACAGGGTAATCACAGTTGGACCTGCTCATAAGGGCCAATCCAGATGTCTGCCAGTTCCCGCAGGGTGCTGTACCGCCGTTCAAACTCCTCCTGGCTGCAGTGTTGTAAGAGCTGACCCACCTCCTCAGTGAGGAGAGCTACAGCCAAGTGCTTATCCAGGGTCTCATTCCATTTGCTGTCCAGGATGTCATCTAGACTAGCAGCACAGTCTGCTGTCCACTGAGGTGGCAGCATATCGGGCTGGAGCACCTGGTGGTGGGCATCAAGCATGGCTAGGATGTGGCGGCAGGGCAGGTGGAAGGCCTGGTTAAAGTAGCAGGTGCAGCTGGCAGGGGGCTGGGGCTGCACTCTATGGGTGTCTTCCAGGATCTGTATGTTCACCTTTTCTGAGCCAGAGCCAATGAGTTGCACAGATTTCTGGACCACAGCAAGCTCACACAGGCAGAGCTGGGCTGCTGGCTCCGTGCAGATGGTATGGAGGGAGTTCTGAATGCAGGCTTCTACCAACTGTTCCACTTTGGGGCTTTGGGGGCTGACATCCAAGGGGGCACGATTGCTCTGGGGACTCAGGCCTAGGCTGAAGCTTGCCTTGTCTCGAGAGTTCTGCTGCATGTATCGGAGCAGGGAGGTCATGCCTTGTTCCACAGATGGGGTGGTGCCAAAGAACTGGCTGAGGATGCGGGTGGTGACCTCCAGGCCCTGGAAGTAGTGGCTGCTCTCGGCTTGGCTTCTCCAACGGTGGGCCAACCAGATGCGGTCATTGAGCAGCCAGTATGAGTGGAGCTTGGGGAGCTGGTCTGGGGGGATGCAGTTGCTCAGGAGTGTATACAACTTCCTCAGGTTGCCAGCTGTGGCTGAGCACATTGTACTCTGCAGGGTGGTCAGGAGCACCTGCTCCACAGGCTGTTCGAGGGAAAGCTGATAGAACTTGCCCTGGAGAAACTTACAGATGTGGAAGGCTGAGGGCAGGACCTCAGCTGTGGGGAACTCCATAGATAGGGTGGGCAGAGGGAGGAAGTAGGGATCTACCAGGATAGTACAGATTCTCTCCCAGGCTGGGTTAAACATCTTGAACACCTGGAATAACCGAGTCAGGCCTTCGGCATCCTCTTTGGCAGGAATGGCAAAGTAGACTGCCCTGGCAAGATGACTCTCCAGCTGCACCCGAGGGCCATCCACAAGGAAGGTATATAACACCTTGCCCATTGGGTTATAGGTCCGGTGGATAAATAAGATCTCAGGGAAATGGGCAAAGATGCCCTGCATAACGTAGCTCTGATAGTTGAGGGTATCTAACTTTTCAGTCTTGCTAACTTGGTACAGCAGTATAGGTGGGCTTGGGTCCTCAATGAGGAGCTCATTCAGCATTGTTAGGGCCATGGGGGAGATGGAAGATGTCTAGATGCCAAGGTCAAAAATACTTCTCTGCAAGGCTGCTGTACAGGAGGCTCTCAGTCTCTCAAGCTCCAACTAAGTTGAGGCTTGAGGCTGGACTGTATTTCAAAGATCGTGTTCCAAAGAGGGGCCTATGGAGAGGAACAGAGGTTTAAGGAGATAATAGGGGCTTGGCTCTTCAATTATTCAGACAATATTTATTGAACACTTACTATGTATCAGCACTGTTCTGGGGGAAATAATAAACATGTCAACAAATAAACAAGGATATATCAGATAATGAAGGTTACAAAGACCACAATACTGGGTAACAGTAAACTGGGGAGGGAAACTTTAGTTAAGGCGGTCAGGGTAGTTCTCTCTGGGGGAAGGATGACATTGGAGCTGAGACCTAACTAATAAGCCAGCCATTTGGTTCCATAAGATCTAGATGGGTGTGAATGTTAGTACTGCATAGTCTTCTTAAAAAAATGGCATTTCAAATATTTGTACAGCACTTTATATTTACAAATTACTTCTTGGTATCCATTCTTTCATTTGATCTTGGTGTATACAAGAGAAATGCAATTGCCCCAAACTTGCTGTGTGATCCTGGGCAAGTCACAAGATCCCTCTGAGCCTCCATCTCTTCAGCTATAAAACAAGGCTAACAAATGTGCATAGCTTCTCCTGCCACTATGTAAATCCCAACATGAACAACAAAGCTCTAGTCAAATGTTTCCTCTATTTGACCCCAAAGCAGGTTATTGTCCCCATTTTACAGATGAGAAACTGAGGTTCAAATAGGTTAAGTGATTTGCCCAACATTATCCTGTAAGTAGCTGAATGCTGAGTCGTTGGCTCGGGATCCTGACTGCTTTCTAAAGTACCTGAGCTTCAAAACCCAGGGACAGAGAAAGGACGCGGCCTCTGACCTCTCACCTCTAGCCCGGTGGGAGGATGCTGATGTCAGACTATTTCATACGGAGTCCGGCCGGAGCCAGAAGAGACGTCAACCTCCCACCCGCTTGGGAGCTGTGTCCAGGCTGACCGTAAGCATCAGTTGCCTCACATCTCCACCCCTTCCGAAACCACTCACCCACAGCCTGGCTCTGTCGCCATGTCTCCCTATTTGACCCAGTGTCTGGCTCTGACTGACCCCTAGGCTCACCAACCGCGGTGCCAGTTTCTCGTCCCTCGGGCCAATGGCCTGAGGTGCTCACGTTAGGTCTTTCGAGCTCGGACCAATCGTAGCCCGGCGGTTCATGGGCGGAGCTGTCACCAGGGTTACGAGGGGCTCGGCTGGCGACAACCAATGAAAGCCTGAAGATATTTGCATCTAGGCGAGTCTGAGCCCGGAGCCTGGAACTCTGGAACCTCCTGTGGAACCCACTGGAAGGGGGTGTTACTATGGAAACTCCCTCAGCGGCCGAAAATGAAATGGAAAATAAATAGCAGTGTTTCGTGAATTTTTTCTTTTCTAGTCAAATTCCAAAGGCCGGGGGTGGGGGTGCGGGTGGTGGTGGCGGGTAGGAAAGGGTGACTATGTAGTTGTACTGAGTCTTTCTGCCTCAGGGAAACAGGCCAGGTTTCAAATTCCGCCTCCAGGTCGGGTCAGGAGCCCAACCCTTGGGTTTGAGAAAACCCAGATTTTTCTTCAGACAGCTTGGCGCCGCCCAGCCAACCCCTCCCAGTATTTTGCGGAGAGATGCAAAATGGCGCTGTGGCTCGTTAAGGTCACGGTGAACTAGTGCAAGAACCAAGGCTGACTGCCACCTTTTGACCTCAGTTCCCAGGAAGCTGGTGGGCTACCAGGCTCCAGGTGACTAAGATGACAAACTAGCAACGATGAAAGTCAGCGTTATGCTTATAACTATGGTGAAAATGTTCTGTTTATATAAATCTAGAGGGGAAACTAGGCCAACACTGATTTTTGCAGGTGAGGAAACCGGGGTCAAAGAAATTAGGGACTTTTCCACAGTCGTCCTGCAAGCTGCAGGCAGCTGATTCTAGGATTCAGGTTTCTTTCCTCCCTATTTGGCCTCATCCAGTTAGAATATGAGTCAGACTGAAATCAATGTTGAAAGGTTTGGTTGGTAGGAAGAGGAGGAAGTGGTGGATTAAGTCTTTGAATTTGAGACTTGATTCCTTCCCACACATTTCCCTTGCTTATTTGATTTTATTAAAAAAACAACCTTTAATATGAATAAAAATAGACACAAATAACAGATTCTTTGTAAAGAGCAGCAATAGTCAAGGATCACCCTCCCTCCCTTTGTCCCTGAAAACAGGCCCTTTTACTGGGTGTTTGTCTCCCCCTCTCCTGGGTTACAGGTCCATCTCTGTAAAGTGAATAAGATCTGATCTCAGGGATTAGGGGAGAAAGAGGAATGACCTTTCAACATGGAGACAACTTTGGCCTTAAATAATGAATGAGGCTCCCGCGGAATGCCAAAGGTAGGGCAGAAAAGGGGGAAATTCAAAGGACTGTCACAAAGCAGAGTCCTCTTCTCCCTATTGTAACAATCTTCTTAGCCCTACCTAGGAAGACATTGGTTAAAACACTGACCCCTAGCATGTCCTGCCCACTGTGAGCTATTGGACTTCCAAGGAGAGGGGTTTGTGGTCCAATGCACCAGAGCAAATGCTTCAATCATGAATCGTGGCCCCAGCAAGAGGGAATCCCTCCCCTTCCTCCTGCTTTCCCCAGAGAAAAGGGAGGCGGCCCACATCCTTAAAGTCCCCTGGCTGTGGAGAGGGCTCAGGTGGTTGGTAAGGGTGAGCCCAGATGTCCACAATCTTGCGCAGGGTGGAAAAGCGCTCCTCTAGCTCTGGCCCCTCACTCTGCATTAGCAGGTTTGCTAGCTCCCTGCTTAGGTCCTGAATCATGTCCTTCCGCCTTTGCTTCCCAGGCTGGCCTGTGTTTGGAACCACAACAGGGTCCCGGAGCCCTCCACTAGGCCCGAGAAGGTGCTGGTACCTCTTTTGCCATCTGCGGCAAACCATGGTTTCACCCACAGGCTTCTGGCTGGTGTGCAGCAGGGCCAAAATGTGTCGGCATGGCAGGTGGTACCGTTGTTGAAAGGAACAGCTGCAGCTACAACCGTCTTTGCTAACCTGGTGAGAGTCCTCTAGCAGCTTAATGTCCACTGAGGAGCCAGCCATATCCATCAGGTGGGTAGAGTTCTGTACCACCTCCCATTCATTGTAGCACAGCTTATAGGCTAGTTCAAAGCCACTCTGGTGCAAGGTGTCTAGCATGCCACCCTGGGAGGGCTGCACCTGTGGCTTCTGCTCCAACTGTACCTGCTGTGGGTATGGCTTTGTCTCTTTCATGGGGAGCCTGGTGAGGCTCCCTCCACAGATTTCAAAAGGCTTCTTGGACTTTGGTGACATGCTTGCTGGCCGGGCTCTCTTTAACTTGGGAGGAGCTGTGGGCAAGTTTTTCACGCCTTTGGTATTAAAGAAGTCAATGTAATCCACAAAGCGGAGGATGCAGTCCAGCAGGGACTGCTGTTCTCGAAAGAGGCTTGACACCTTGCTAGTGACGATGTCTAGGCTGTCCATGTAGGTGTTACACGCATGAAGCCCCTTCCTGACGTGCATGTACCACAGCAGTTCACAGGAGAACCAGTGGGCCTGCAGGAAGCTGAAGAGCTCCTCATCTAGTAGGGCCTGGGACATCTGACAGAGATTCTGCAGGCTGGCAGCAGAGGTGACAAACACAGCTTCCCGCAGGGCTTCCTTCATGAGATTTTTAAAGGATGGATTTGCTGAACTACGATGCAACTTCTTCTCTAAGAGTCGGGTTGTGTGGTAGATGGAAAGGAGAATGCGGGCAGCAGGGAAGATTTCCTGCAGGATGGCTCGGTGAGGGAAGGACGGGTCCACAAAGACCACCTTGATCTTGGGCCAATCTGAGTTGAACTCTGTGAAGATACCCAGCATCTTGGCCACAGACGTGGCTGTCTCGGCCTTGAGCACAGCAAAGTGTACCACTCGACCCTCTCGCTCCTTGTTCTCCACCAAGAAAGCATAGAGGATGTGGCCCTGGGCATTCTCCACCCGGTGCAGCAAGAGATTTTCCGGGAAGCGGACGAACAGATTGCTCATCTTGCTGCTCTGAAAGCTGAGCCGGTCCAGGCCTTGGCTGTTGCCTACACTGAGGGAGGCCATGGAGCCCTCATCCACCTTAAGAAAGTTCTTCATCACTTTTGCTATCTTGGCCAGGTCAGAAGGAGTGATACCCTCCTGCTCTGTCTTTGAGGCTGCTCGGACCTTATTTAAGCAAAATGATGGTTCAGCTGGGAGCCTCTCAGCCCTGTTTAGGTCTTTTTTGAATGTGAGCTGCTCGGGCTCAAGTTTCTGCAGGCATATTGTCTTTTCAGCTTCAGCAGTGTCTCCTTCAGGATCCACAGTTTTGGAGTCAACATGTATATGCTGGGTGTTGAGTTCACTGATAAATAGTCTATCCAGTCTCTCACTGTACTGCAGGAGCAAGTATGCTGGGCACATGTCCACCTCTGGTGCTCTCTTCCTGTTTGACTGGGTCCGAATACAGACAAATTTCACCTGCACATATCTAGGGAAGGTAGAGGTAACAATGAGAAAGGTGCTGACCACCCCTTTTCTAAGACAAGGCCCTGTTGGGACTTACAGTGACTGATCTATTTTCTGGAGACCACAATGCAGTGTAGGATGTAGGGAAGGAAGATTTACATTCATTCTCCAATCTCAAAGTATGCAGCTCTTTCTTTAAAACCCTAACTAAAACTCCTCCTTTTCATCTACAGCAGTCCTAAGTCCCAACTCCTTTCATTCACTCTCTGTTGCCCATCTGTAGCTGCCAACAATTCAATCTGAGGCAAGATACAACGGAAAACAGATAAGAGGTAATAGAGTACCTAGCTGTTTACTGTTTAAAATGTCCCCTTCATTCCTGCCTTTTGGGAGCCATTGCCTACTCCAGACAACAAAGATAAAAGTGGCCCTGCCCTGGGCAGGTGGCTTAGTTGATTTGAGTGCCATCCCATACACCAAAAAGTTGCAGGTTCAATTTCTGGTCAGGGCACATACCTAGGTTG